GACTGCACTTGGATGTTTGCTCTAGTGTTGTCCTCTCGGGGTGGCAGGACAGCCTGCCTCACCATGGGCTTCACCACGAGCTGCACGGGAAGCTGTGCTCTGATGCCTGCAGTGCCTTCTGCCCCTCCTTCTGCACTGACCTTGGTGTCTGCAGGGCTGTTGCTCTCACATAATGTCACATTTCTCTCACAGCTGTCTTGCAGCATTCTGTACCCCTTCTCTATTACTCTTTCCAGAGGTGCCATTAGCTTGGCTGATGGGCTCAGCCATGTCCTGCAGTGGGACTGTTGGGGTTGGCTGTGTCCCCATCTATTTTCTCACAGAGGCCACCCCTACAACCTTTCTGCTGCCAGCATTTGGCATTTATACTATTACAGTTTACACCTATTTTGAGTTCTTGCATTCCGACAATAACTTCAACTCAAAACTTGTGCTACGGTTGAAACAATTCAGAAGAGGAATCACTGTAGCTCAATCATCTCCTTCAAGAGATTGTTAAGGCTGCTAACTCTGAGAAATGGCTGCTCCAGGGAGGGCTGTGGGGCTAAGCCACAGGAACAGACCACTGCAAATGGGACATGGTAAAGAGGCAGGAAGTTGGGTTTGGGATGCAAGGACCTGGAAGCTCTACATGTTGTCTCCATAAACAAACAGCTAAGTCTTAAAGAAGCCTCAAAGCATAAGTCTTTGGTATTCGCAGTAAGACCACATTTCATTCTGCACCTCCAGTTGGCTGGGGCACAAATTCTTTCTGAATTTGGATCTTGAAAACAAGTAACAGACCTGGAGTGTGACAGGACACCCCCAGTACCAGAGCGCCAAGACAGAGCCCTCCTTACCTGTTGTGAATCACATTGCAAAGACAGCACTACACAGTGGGATAACCTTAACCTGGCCCAGTGCATAAGAGATTACTGCTTCAGAACTATTTATATCCTTACAGCTCTGGTAGAAAGGCTAGTAAACAGAAGGTTCAGTCGCTGCCATACCGTGCAGGAGCCTGCTGTCTCACTGCCATCCTCAAAGGCAGTTCAGGTTTCAGTCCCAGGTGACTTCACTCCATGGCACCCTTTTCTCTGGTGGTTACCCTGCACCTTTACTCTGCCAGGCAGCCATTCAAGGTTGGTGACTAATCCCAGTGAGAAAACCCAAACAAACATTGAAATGGCATTAGTTATTTCTAAAATGCTTGCAGTGATAGTTTACCAAAAAGCAAAGGTCTACAGAATTCAAATTTGTCTTAACAGCACAGTGCATATTTTCTTTGTTATTAATTGACTCAAAAAGACATACTCATCAGCATCACTTATCTTTGCACTCCGGAACCTATGCTGAGTGCAAAAAAATGTTTATATTCCACGAAGGAGCATCTCAAAACAAAGCATGAAGTGCATCACTGGCTTTCTGCGGTGAAGTTTTCAGCACTCTTCAAGTATTTCCTTCCTGAATACATGATCGTATTCTTTAAAAATCTGAAGCAATTCAGATCTTCCTTTTCAAACTTTCAGATTATCTGTAGGAGTATGATTACATAGTAACAATTAGTAGCAATTTTAGGTAGTTGTAATTTTGTAATCCGCAAGAGTGGTATTCGTTGGAAGTAAAAATTCAGAATTTGGAGCACATATGATGTTAATTTGGGCCATTTGCCTGCATAGTTTATTTTAAATATGAGAATTTCCATGTAGTAGACTAAATCTGTGGAAGTCAAAATGCTATGCATCTTCTAGTCTTGCAATATGAAGTCAAAGGCCAGGATGTTTGTATCTACAGTGTTAGAAAGCACTGCCCCTTGTGAGCAATAATTAATCTTTATTATCTTCAGTAAAACAATAAATTTCTTACACACTATAAGCATCCTTTTGTTTAGTCTTACTTTCAATTCTTTTAGAATGAACTCTTATTTGCAGCTCATGATCATTAGATAATGGGTCCTTTCGTTATTTTCTGTTTGTTTTTTTTTTCCCCTACCATCAGAAGTTCTGAATCAGAGTAGTTAGCTTTTTTACCTCATTGTTTCATAAAGCTGCACTGTAACTTGCCCTTTCATTTTACTTCTTGTCTGCCAGCTTCTGAGTAGACAATACTCTGAGCCACACTAACAATAGGAGGGAATTTTGTGCCAGGCAGGACTGATATCCTTTTAAGGCAGAGAACCCAATGAGTGAACAATGCTGGGAAATACTGAGGATTCCCAGCAGGACTCAGTTTCAACTTTCATGATGAAATGTGTGGCAATGTAGCAAAAAGTTGCTTGCAAAAATTGCTATCCTTTCTACACTTTAGGTATAACCTTAGAATCGTTTTATCTTCTCTAGTGCTTCTGCTATTAGTGTTGATTTATTTTGCTCTTACAGATTGAAAGGTTAATTTTGTTTTGACTCATTAAATTAATGAGAGCTTAAGTTAGACAAATATAAGTTAAAAATGGCTAGAAGTTAGTAAACAGTGTTGTAAAATCAAATTAATGACAGCTTTTATGGAAAGTATGACAGTGTTCCCAGTGCATGGCTCCAGTGGTAAAGGTCTTTATGAACATAATTTAAGCAGACATCCCACAGTCCATTTCAAAGCTGAATACACCACATGTAGCTAGTTAGTGCAGTAGGACTAAGAAGCATCAGCCCAAAACCCAGAAGAATGCTGCCCTGTCACTGAACAATCTCTGAAAAAAGGAAGAAAAAAAACTCTTCTCCCCTCCCAAAATAGTGTCAGTTTATCTGAAACCACTTTGATCAACATGAATGAGTGTTTAAAGTAGTGTTAAGTTGTGCTGATTTTTTTAGTTGACAAAAATACGCCTCTCACATGTGAGGTCACGGTGGAACATCCTTACAAAGTAACGAGATTATGCAAATCAAAGTAAATGTGCAGATGTCCATTTTCAATACCAAAGTCAGCTTTGAACAGATCAGTCTTTTAGACCTGAGGAACAACACGGCATCAAAATAGTCAAAAAGGACCTGTAAATGTCAGACCCCATTGAATACAAGGAAATTTAAGGATTAATTGCATGGGCGTGGGTGGAACCAGTGCCAAAGCAGAGGGGTTTTTAAACTGTCAGGCTGAAAAACCATTTACACAAGTTGTGTACAAGTGAGTTATGCAAATCATATATGATTCCAGAAGGATACTGTGCAGAAATTTGTAATTAACATCCAAGTAGAACAGGGGAGTGCTGACACCACCTTACACTGCTGAGACCTCAGCTGCTTTCTGTTGTGCATACACAGGTGTGTATTGTGCATATGCAGCTCTACACTCAGAGTTTGGAAATCAGGAAACTCACAAGGCAGTGGGAAGAGCAGAAAAAATGCTCACTACTAGCTTGATAACTTTCTCAGGCTGCCAATTCTGAAATAAATTAAACCAGTGTGGTATTGATATTGGCAGAGTTAAGTGCTGTAACGTTCCAAGGCAGGAACTTACTGAAAAAGAAACAAGAGTTGGATTGAAAAAAAATGCTTCTAACTGTGTAAAAACAGTGGAAATCTATTATCCAGTGGTTGAGAATGAAAGAACATACCTGTAAGTTTCTTTGATCTGTTCTTACTTCTTCTTTTAGACCTTAATGTTAAATCCTAAATTGCAGAAACCCAACCTTTTCCAAAACATCCTTACTGAAGTTTATCCTTTGCAGAAAACAACGGAATTCCCTGATGTCATCAACTGCTTACAGCATGAATATAAAAAAAAAAAATAAAATTCATGTAAAAATAAATAACTCACTGAACAAAGAGCAGCTTTTGTTATTCCTCCACCCCCCCCCTCAAAATATAACCTGTTCATACGCCCAAGGAGGAACCTGACAAATGTGAAAACACAGTACAGTAGTATTATCCTACCCATGTAGCTCTGGATAGGACCCCTACTGCCACCACCCTCCATCTGTGGAACACTACTGTCTTCAAAGCATTGGCAAAAGAGCTGCTTCTAAGTGAGCTCATAAGTAACCAAGCTTTCAGGAGCATTTTCATTCCTACAGTAATAGAGAACAAAAAACACCTCTGCTTTTATAAGGCTCCTCTTTTTTTTGTTATAGTGGAAGATGCCACCAAACTGAAGTTGGTTTATCAGAAATTGGTAATACAGAACACGTTCAGGCATTAGTCATAAAACGTCAGCACATCTAATTATTGTAGCCAGCTCACAGAGATAAGCACCTGGTTTTTGGAGGTGATACTCCTGCTAAAGTCTTAGACTCTCCCTAATCACAGACGTACACAATATAAACCCTCACTGGGACCAGTGTCTCAGGCAACCAGACAGTATCAATGGGACAGGGAACTAGGGGAACTGAAGAGGCTTGGATATTGATCCCAACTGCATGCTGGCATGCTCCAGGTTCTCCAGTATACACCTAGAGATCTTGGTGCCTAAAATGTATTCCAGAATCACAGAATCATTTCGGTTGGAAGACACCCTTATGATCATCCAGTCCAGCTGTTAACCTAGCACTACAAAGTCCACGCCTACATCACGTCCCTAAGTGCCACGCACCCTATATTATCAGAAAACAGGTAGTAATAAAGAAAACCTCTTAAACATGGATAGTCTGCCTCAGTAATTTAACTATACAAAGTCTTCACAACAACTTGTAGGACTTTATAAAATATACAACATGCTAATGTTTTCTTCTCTGCTTATCACCTCTAATTTGGATCAACTTTGCATTTTCTCACCAGCAAAATACGCTTAATTGAATTTTGAGTTTTATTAATTCAAAGCAGATGAATGTATCACCAAAACACCGCCAAATGCTTCTGCTGTTTGCCACTGCTGAAATATTTTGTGTCCTCTAGAAATAGACTGCTTCACAGACCTGCACAGTCCCCTGGAGGGGAGTTTTACTGTGTTTAGTGAAATACAGTTTAATATTACGCTTTACCTTAGTCAAATTCCATCCAACCAGCATTTTTACTTCCTTGAAAAAAAGAACAAAGATTTGGCTTTGCAAGCAAACTTAATCATAGGGCAATTATTATACCAGCTTACATGGCTCATCATTAAAATAACAAATCCTTTTAATTACAAAAAATTAAGAAATTGCTTCTTCACAATCGGAAATCACATCACTACATTTTGCTCATGAGAACAAATTTACAGGCTTAAGTTGCACATAAAGGGTTTATTTTAAATGTTTTAAGGATAGAGTTACATCATAATTATAAAAATTACTTACAGAATTAAGTAACATATTTAAAGTGTTTATACTTCTAAATGCAGAGAACAGGGAACTGTCTACATTGTTCAAAATAAAATAAAAATAATGAAACCAAGCTCTAAAGATGAATTCACTACCTAATTTGAAAATGTGAACACGAAGACCTCTGAACTATACACATACCAAGAACCATCCTAACTGCACTAATGATGTAAAATACAAAATGCACAGCATTTTCAAGGAACCAGAAACTGTTTTTATTGTAATTAATTTCCCTGACGCAACTAGTTATTTCTCTCTGACGATAAAAGCCCCCATGTTTAAACAATCCATTTAGAGAAGGCTTCCACCTATTGCAATAAAAAGGGTTTTCCCCATGTTTACTCCAACATAGTTTATAGGGTTTGGCACTCAAAAGAAAGAAGAAGAATGTAATGCTTTGCTATTCAAGTGAGATTTTATTTTTTCTTTAACAGAATACATGGTCCCTTCAAACGCTGTATGACACATACAACTGGAAAATTACCTTCCGTTGGCACTATGCTCGTCTCACCGGTGCATTTAATCCTACTAACAACCATTAAACCACACAATAAGCAAATTCACAAAAAACTGAACACAAAATAAAAACAGAACAAAACAAAAACCTAAACATTTTAACATGCAACTTTAGTTCATTACATTGAATGTTCTAACCCTCTAAGCATGCAAAAAAGGATGGTCTGCATTTAAGTTGTGTTTTTTTCCCTTTTTAGAAAGTTTTACATGGCAGCCTGACATCACACACACGCACACACACAATATACAACAATACTACAGCAGGTAAATGTGAAAGATGAATAACTTTTATACAAAGATCCATGGCTTGTGCCATCACAAGCCCTATGTGATTTTGGAAAGTAATGTTGAACCCCTATAACAAGGAACCAACATTTAGTTACCAGGGTAACGCAAGCACTGCATGCAGATCTGAAACATGAGCCTAAAACAAAGCCCAAAGCAGATGGGCAGGGAGTGGAATTAGTCTCAAGCCTCAAAAAGGTGGTTTAAGCTATCAAAAAAAAAAAAAAAAAAAAAAAAGAAAAAAAGGTGAAAAGAAAATATCCACACAACAGACAATGGGGACACTGAAAAACAACCATTAAATTTAACAGTTTGTAGATTATACTCTAATTGGCAGAATACATGGTGTATTCAAGAGGCTTGCAGAAAACCCACAAATGCAAGCCTAATGCTAAAACTGTTCCAGTAGACCTAAACCTCAGATATTTCAAAACAAACCTTATTTTCCTCAGATATATAGCCCAAAGTTCAGTGTACTAGGTAATTCATGTATCTTGTGTATAGTCAATACACTCACTCATTCCTGTGCCACAAATATCGACTTGGGCTCATGGAGCCAGGCTCAGCTTTGAGATTTACATGCAGGACTCTTAAGAGTCAATAGAAAACACAACAGATCTGCAGGATGAAAACACTGTGTTGCAAATCTGCTCACTTTGTTCAAACACAAGAAACGTTTACGACTCAGGTACTTACTGCATAAGGACTGCATCAAGAAGCTATTCACTGAAAGACAATAGCCTGCCTTTGGTTGCCCATGATGAAATACTGGACATACTGCAATATAGTAGCGATGGACAAAGAATTAAGGTATCATATTTATACGGAGAGTATTTATTACCATTCAACAGCATAATGAGGCACAAGCCTTAAGGCTAAAATATGAAATCAGGCAAAAAAAATGGACAGAAAGGGGCTTAAACCACTGAGTCTTCAATATCAAGAATACCCACAACAGAGGTCATCCAGACCTCTGTCCTCTGATTAACAGCACTTCTCCTGCATCCTTCCACTAATGGCATATGGTTGGATATCAGAGTATTTGTTCCTTCCACCAAGTGTTGTCTCTCTTCATGTACTGTATTCCTGTGAAGCAGTTCTTTGAAACCTGCGGAGCTCTGCCTCAATGTAACATGACAATTTTGCTGCTGTACTGGATCGTTGTTGCGTTTCTGATACTTTTAAAAGCTGCCACACTTAAGAAACCCTAAGTTTCATTTACAACTATCTTGCAAGATCAAAACCGTGAAAGGATTTTGCAGTTGTGGGCTGCTATTTACATCCACAATCTAATGCAGATGACTGAACCACTGAGACTGCCTACAGCTTCCATTAGATAGTACACCACTGGCATGCAGAACTCTAGTGTTCATAGAATGAAGCTCATGTTAACAGCATACCTCAAAGCAAGTACAATGTACACCACAAAAGGCAACAACAGGTTTAAACTGTAGATTTGTCCGGACACTCCTTATGTGGAAAAGCCAGAAAAAGAACAAATTGGGAAGATGCCTTCTTGAACCGAAATGATTAAAAAGCAAACCAACACAAAGGAATGCAACAGACTGAGCAGAAGGCAACAAAAATGCTTCTCCTTCTCCAAAGTTACATTTTCAATGCAAGAGGACACCCCCTCCCACTCCCCTGGCGTGACATTGTACTTATCATGTAAAATATTAACTACTGTTAGGCTTCTAAGTCCACACACAAACATTCAGGTTGCTAGGTTTTGATATTAAATGAGACTACTGATGCCAATGCGTAGTCTAAAGTCTTCTGAAGTAGCATATATACTGTTAAAGTTGTGGCACCAAGCACTTGGGTTTTGCTAAGAAGTGTGTATAACAAAGAAAGAAGTACAACATTTAGGATTGAAGGCAGCCTTGTTGCATGTATTTTACTGGTTCCTACATCTTGTAAATATGGGCCATTAACCTGCATTTTCTAATTAACTGGCTATACAGATTAAATGTATTTTTACAGTTTAAAGCCTTTTCACTGAAAGGTGCATAATTCAAACACTTGATATCCTACTGCCCTGTGACTAGTAAAAAAATGCACAAGTATTTCCACATACTGCAAGTTCTTAAAAAGCTAAATTTGAAACAAAGGGTAGAAACACAGCAGATTGATGTTACTTGAGTTAGGCACTCCTTGACGCTGCACAAACTGTTTAAACCTTTCAGGAAAATCACCTCTGTCCCAACCCTGAAAACAAGGACTGCCAGTATCCAGGAAATTAAATTTAATGTTACAAAAGAAGGCGTATCAAATATCAAACTACACTTTCATGTGGTAGTTGAACAAGTGAGTGCAAGGCTGAAGAAAAAGTAAAAATCTATGAAAAAATTTAGATTAATGATTACAATACTAGATCAACTTTACACAGCTTGAATTTGCAGCTGTTCTTTGCTTTTAACTCCCTCCTGCCCAAACATATTGACTTCCTTCAAGAAAAGGAGTTGTTTTACACAAAATGTGTCATGTTTGTATTACTCAGAACAAAACAGTTTTTTGCTGGCAGAGATTGTGGGTTCGCAGGGACATTTAAGCTTTCATTAAACTGGAAAGCAGTCAAGTCTTTGTGTCTACAAATTTTACATTTAATAGTTCCACAAATTTGGCAAAAGTTCATGATGACGTCTAGGATGTCTTCACCAAATCGTAGACATAAATATGGAAATCATCATCAAACTTGATGAAATAGACAGATGGTTTGGCTTCAACTTGATGAATGACCATGCCAGTCCTTTTTGAGCCATCTTCTTTGGCATATTCCACTTGTTTGCCTACCAGGCTGTCCACAACTTCACCTGGTTCCCGTTCTGCAGGAGGTGAATCATCTGTAACATAAATCCAGCAAGCTTTAGTAGACATTAATAAAATTTGCAACACAGAAGACAACTGCATAGTCTTCTTTAAAACTCATACAAACCAATTAAAAGTTGTAAGTATACGTAGAAAATTAATTTTGTTAAGACAAGCACCTAACAGTTGCCATGTTTCTAGAAAGTAGTTGCAGAAAAAATTCTCAAGCAATACTGCAGGAAGACAAAAAGAGCACTTTGATTGGTAAGAGAAGTAAATCTTTTGACAGGAACACTTATGCACAAGTCATAGAAAATGGCTGTGGATAACTGAATTTAAGCCACTGGCAGGAAAAGACACTGGGCCTCCTTAGCAAAAAGGTAGCCAAACTAAACCTCCCTCTTCCCACAGATATTATTCAAACTTTCAGTGCATGCATGCCACTGCAACAAAACCATCTCTTCTGAAATGGTGGTAGGTGCAAACTCCTTACTAAAAGGGGCTTTAGACTCCATATTTGAACAATGCTGTTGGTAAAGCCTATTTTCCTCTGTAGCAAAACCTAACCAGAAATATCCTTGTATTTTAGATGAACCCTATGGTAAATTTGGATACCAGAACGTGTGATTTGTAACAGGCCAATTGCCAAGGGACTGGCTACAAGCAAATCACAGAAAAAGTATGAAATAAGGTAAAAAAAATTACTGTATGGAGAACCAGAAGGTAACCACACCTTCCTTCTCAGCTCCTCTTATCTTGTTCCCTATTTAGACAAACTTGTGGTTTGTATTCCAGTGAGAAACGTTCCAAAGCAGTTGTCAAATCTGATGTGGCTTTTATTCTGGAAATGAGCTTTAAAATTAATAATTTTGCTCCAAGTTCAAATTAAGAATCCCTTACAGACTCCACCCATTTTATTTTCACTTCTGAGAGCTGGGAAAGAATTCTCAAAAGACAAAAAACCACCACCAAGGGATGAATAGATTGCCTTGTATTTACACTGAAAATTCTTCCACAAACTTGAGAAGTTTCTCTTCCATTTTTTTTTTCAGTCCCACTGTCACACAGTTATTTTCCTCTTAATATCAGTTTTATGGGAAGAGTCTTTCTCGGCAAAGATGTCAGCTCAACTCATATACTTTCACTTAGAAGTGCAGACAAAGTTTTAGTATCAGATCCAGTGATACATTTTTCCCTTACCAAAAAAAAAAAAAAAAGCTTAAAAGAAATGTTCTACAATTTGGTCTCCTAACATATGCAAAGCCTATATTTGAGAAGAGACAGTACCCTGGAAATTTTAGTTATAGTATTATGGCAAGTTCCAACAAATTTATAGAACTACTTCCAGGTATTCTAAAATCTGATTTGAGAAATACTACTCCGAAATACTAACATCCAATCATTGACTCAAGGACACAATTCAAAATATCTGGGAAGCATTCACATTCAGGGAAGGAAGCAAATATTCAGAATTGTTTAGAAAACAGGTAAGCATCAACAGTCAATAGTCTTGTGGAGAGCACAGAGGGAAAAGTACACTAAAAGCCATTAGTACTGAAATGGTAAGAAAGCATATAAGCTTTCCCTGCCCTCACCCCCAAAAGTGGAAGAAACCAAAGCAGACTTAAAATACATTTCAAGTCCTTTTTAATAGTTAAGACAAAGAATAAGTTGTGATACTTAAAAAGAATAAAATTGAAGGGAGCAACAGAAAAGGTGTTTGTTTGTCAGCTCTCCTGTCCATAAATACACACAGACAAATGTTTAGTACAAAAAGCTGCCAGAATAAAACAGTAACTGGCCTACTTACTTGAATCAGGCATAATGCGAAGGTCACCTTCTTTATAATCATCTAAGAGTTGGTACATGTACAAGACGGGATCTTTCTCGTAGGTAATATAAAACCACGTGTTCATAATAGGAGCTCGAGCCAAAACCATCCCCCTCCATTCATCTTTTGAGCCATCCTCTGTCTCAAACATATGTTCCACAGCTTTACCAATCATTGTGTCTGCCAGGTGGGCATCACTAATTCGAGATGAAGCTGAAACGACAGCATTTCACAAGTTCATTCAAAAGCACAGATATGTATCTTCGTGAAAAATAATCTTTACCCTTATTCATACATAAATCATCCGATGGGAAGTTAGTTAATTCATACACAAAACGAACACTGTCCATTCCAGAGAGTTTACTACTGAAGACTTACAAAACTTCAGAATGTAGTTAAAATATCAATGTATTACTGTGCTCCCCCTATGACGAAACAATCATAATGCAAGGTAAAGGGAGATCAACCGAGGCCACAGCAGCAAAGACTCTCTGTATTTTAACTAGACATTGCAGAGGCAGATGGGACAAGAGAAAGAAAGGCCATCCACAGAACAATTCTATGATGTTATTAACGGAACTCTGAGGTTTGGTTCCTCCCAATTCCACTCTACAGACTGCTACCTATTGCTTTGCATTTAGAAGAAGGAACAGCTTATTCTGTTTATAAACTAGTATTTACTTGAGTAAATATCAAACCTGGTGGTTTGAAAAACTGTCGTTTAACAATCCAGTGCGAATTCTGAACATCAAAAAGCATTATTACTAATCAAGTTATTTCATTTAGAAAATGCCTTCCCCACATTATTCAAAGTACTTGGGGGAAGTACATGAGGTTTCCCTCATGAGGTTTTCCTCATGTACTTATGTGACATTATTACTGTTAGACACACACGAATACACACCACAGCCAAGATGTCTTACAGTTGAAATTTCAACAGAAAGATCAACGTTAATCAAAAAAACCCCCCTACAGAATATACTGCACACTACTTGAAAACAGCAATTGCACTCACTAGTATCATCAAAACTTCGTGGAATCAAAAATAATTAAGGGCATTTTAGATTACATGTCATGAGACAAAAATGAAATTGACTAGTAACCTTCAAGCGTTCAGGTGTTATCTTGGGGGAAGTTTGCAGAGATTAGTGGAGAACATTTAATAATGAATGTCAGCCTATACGCATACGAATTTAGGAGAAAAAACCTAAAATGCTTACCAACTCTGTCTGGAAGAACTTCAAGTGCTGAAACTCTTTCATCTTTGTGAAGTTCTAGTCCATACACACAGTCAAATCCATCATACTTGATGAGATAGAGAGAGGGATTTACAGGAACTTGATCAAGAACTGTGCCCTTCCATTGCGTTACAGGTCCACTCCCTTCCTTCCATCCATGCTGTATCCTGCAGCCTACAATGTTTCTTCGTGGCTGAGAAATAGGTTTGCTGGGTCCCACATTGTTTCTATGTTTTCTGTGCACAGAAACAAACATTAATATTAAACAAGTACATACAAATTCTACTTCAGAAACTAGTTGTCTGCTTTTACATCACAATATATTTTACAGCTTAGCGCACCTTTATTCAAATTAGGGCATAAAGCATAGCCCACTGTATCAGAAAAAAGAAAAATACACTAAAAAGTAGTGAAACATTTTTTATGTGCTTCAAACTGTCAGTTTCCTAACAGCAAATTCTAAAACTAGTCTGCTTAAGCCAAAAGAACTATTCTGCTCCTTGCTACACTGAATGTCCAAAGTAAAACTCACCTGATCAGGTCTCACAGCACAAGGTTACCTGGCAGTATTACTACTTTACTAGCTTGTTGTTCTCTGTAGAACAGTAAACAACTCCTGTCCCAGGAGGCAAAAGTCAGTGCAAACATTACCAGTGGCTGACTAAAATTCTTCCAAGCTGTTGTTTTTTCCCTAAAACAAACCTGTTTTCAATTGAAGGAAATTTAGCCTCCTTCATTTACAGATATTTTTGACTCAGAGTATTTTTAAAGACACATGGTAGTAACAACACTTCTGCATCACTCCTTTTAATATGGGAAATGAAAAACTGCATGTGATGGAAATGGCCACAAAAGAGATACTCCTTTATGTGGAAAATAATTAAATATATTTTTTTATCCTTCTGCTATTTTCATGGAATTGGCATGGAAATGCCCTCTGGTGAATAGCAGTTGCTGTTCTGATCAACCATGATGTAAGCTATTTGACAGTTTCAAATCACTGAAACTGTTGTAAAAGTTTTGTTTTATCCAGTTATTAAAAACACGAATTGGCAATTTTGAATCCAAATGGAAGAAACTAAGGGACATTATGACAGTATACAAAATTCTCCTGAATGTCAACTGGTTGTAAAATCAATTTTTGGGCTACTACTTGTAGCACACATCCTTTCAATGGCAGTAATCTATGCACACAACTAGCATGCCTAAAAGCAACATCCAGAAGAGTATCAGCTGCAGAAGACAACACTCTTCCTTAGATTAGAAGTAGTGATCAAAGAAAAATATCTCCAGGAACAATGAATGCTCTCTCAGAACTCTCTACATGATCCAAAAAAAGAAGGCAACAACCATACCACTGAAACCCTGGAAACGCTCTTTCGGAATAATGCACTCACTATGTGGTATTGGAATGCTTAATGCTAAAGATATAATCATAACTATAAAAAGCAAGACACACGATTCCTTCAGCAGCTTGTACCACCTCCAGGCTTTAATTCACCATGAAGATCTTAGCACGGGGTTTGTCAAATTTCACTTTTGCGATCATTTGAGCTTTTCGAAGATCAAACTTTGATAGCACAGACAACTGGAACAGGTGGGAGTTCCTGTAAAGAGAGACTCTCCCACAAATCTGGTTCTAATTTTATGCAAAAACTAAAGCACGTTTTCAAATTCCAATTCTGTTCAAGTTTACATATATATGCATTTCTAATTGTAAGTGTCAGTAATATTTTACTTCTACAAAATGAGAACAGAGAGCTGGTTCTTGGCACAGTAAAATTGAGTTTGTGTTGTATGTAATTCATTCATGTAGTTCTTATGAATCACTGCTCCATTTTAAAGGGAATAAAAACAACTAAAGATAAGAGTTAAAACTGACATTGCTTTATCTAGTTTAAGCAGTTTATGCTGCTAATCATCTCACCTTTGAAAAAGATTATAATACTATTCACTCAACTTCATAGTCAATTTTACTTTCTGCCTACAAAGCATAATCCACTTTGAGTTGGAACAATAAGGTGAAAAGTTTCACACCCATTCTAAAAAAAATTATGGAAAAAGAGAACTTAACTGAGTTCAAATGGGTAACTATGTTTAAAATGCCTCATAGAGCAAAATGCATTACAAATTTAATTACAAGTCAAGTACCCGCCAGGTGTACCTGCAGTTCAAATTTTTGTTTGAAGGCTGTATTACTGAACAGCTGCTCACTCTCTTTTGCAGCAGTTCATTCTGTAAGAAATGAGGCAGTCAAACCAGTAAACTGCTAAGGAAAGCCTACTTCTTGCATCCTGAACATGTGGTAAGAAAGCAAGCATAAGTTGTTAAATATTAATAAATAATATAGAATGTACTTCCATGTAAGACAAACAAGTAACCAACACTCTTTTCCTAGCAGTGTGTTATTTTTGTGATACATCAAGTAACACAAATATTCATAACTTTCTATGATGCTATAACCAGAAGATCCAATGCAATTTTTCCCCTTCTCTTTCATTAGCATTATCTTTAAAATTCCATGGAGATTTGCTCTTGAAGACTAGAGAACATTTAGACATGGAAAACATGGAGCCAGAGAAACAGAAATGAGCAAGTCCTGGAAATAGCTCGACACATCAGACACATCCTCATTGTAAACGGCCTTTTGATTCCCAAAAGTTTCAGATCCTCTTCTTTATCTTGCAGGCTGTAAGCTGTTAAGTAAAACCTAGTTACGTGGAAATGTTTCATTATCAGAGCCAGATACTATAGACTGCACAGGCTGAAAGAAACCTCTCCAAGTTTTAAAGCTGTGTTTATATGGTCCTCACACAAACTTTTATTTGGCAGCTGCTACCAGGGAAACCAACATTGTGCAGAACTGCACAGGACTGGCAGCAGAAAAATCAACCATTACCAGAGAGTTGTGCTTTAAAAAGGAGAATGGAAATTCCCAATAACCTATAAAGTCATCCACTTAGGGTCGATTGATGGTTTGGTTTTTTTTTCCTGATCATCTCACCTCAGAAAAACACCACAAGGAAAAAAAAAAAAAACAAACCCAGAAGGGTGAAAGAAAACCACACCCCTCAGATATGCCAAAAATGCACAACTGTGAAAAACTGAGAGGAAAACTGTAAGACATTATAAAGGCAGTACAGCAGCAGTGGTCAGGACACTTTCAAGTCTTTCACAGTGCTAAGTAGAAAAGTTATTAAAAATAGGACCCAAAACTTAATGCAGTTGTGATCTTATTACAGCCTATCATTAATAGCAGAATGCTGATGAGAGACTGTTATTAACTACTTTTCATAATATTCATACTATGAGCCACATTAGGTTAAGACAGAAGTTTTAAAGAACTTTCTGTACTCCCTCAAAAGCCATCATTTAGTTGTGAATCTCAGCTCCACATGTTGCAGAAACCAAGAACTACTTTAGCATAAAGTGAGATCAAAATCTCAAAATGTTTAAGTTCACTTGTAGTTAAATTGCAGCAGGTATAACCTGAACCTCAAAGTCTTTGAATTGCCAACTACATGAAATCTGGAGAGCCTATAAAGAAAGGACTTTCATAGTTGTACTATTTCCTGTATTCTTTCCTCATACACCAAGGGTGGAAAGGATGAGATCCTGGAGTTTACTGACTGATCTGATGCCAGTGAGGTCAGCTTCATTATTAGCAGAGATCACCACTACCCACTGACAGAGCACTTGGAAGAACTGCCCTATACCCACAGGAACCATCTCCAAAAGGCTCAACAGTTCACTACCATTTAGGAAAGAAGAGTTCAGAAGGCTCATCCACACTGCTCATTCTATCACATCCTCAGTTACTGAGTCTTGCCTTGTTCCTTCCTCTGCTGCAACCCTTCTGAAGCTGATTCAAAATCTCAATGGCCTTTGAGTGCCAGTAGGCTTCTTCCTCTTTTTCTTTAAATGAGAGCAACTAAATTAATAACTAAATCAGTGACAAAGTGTGCATTACTAACTCATGGTCTTTCGTATTGGCTCAGAGTAGTATCAGCATATAGTATTACATCATCATTCATAACCTACTGATTTGTGTTAAACTGTAAATATAAACAATTCTCTACTACTCTGCCTCATTCTCAGACAAGTCAGAGAGAAGCACACAATAAATCATCTTGGCTTCATACAAAAAACCTTTACTAAATAATAAACAATTGAACTAGGCTAAATTAACATAAAACTTAGCTGGATGCTCAAGTTAAATGCCTCAAAATTATAACACTTAGGATCAAAACTTCTCATGTCCCACAAAAGCCTTTATGCTACGAAATTTACAGCCTATTTATTTAAATAACTGTATATTAACACAACAGTAAAGACAAATCTAGCCACCCTCAAGTACGAAAGGCAACCCACCTCTGATAGTCTTCCCATCATACACTCCTTTCTCTGAGCGGTTGAAAGAGAACAAGAGAAATTAAATTTTAACCAACTCTACCTGTCCCTAGACAAATAAATGTTTCTCTTTGCCTTCTATGAAGATAGACAAGAATGGATAATGATGAGCTGGTGGAAGGGATTAGAGTAGTTTTACATCAGGTGGTGTTTCTGGGAAACAGTTAACACCGTTTAGCAGTGATTAACTACGTTAATCATAGAAAATACACCTGCTGAACAAATTGCTTTTGATTGATATACCACTACATGACTTTATACTTAAAATGCAGCTAGTAACATTTTAGTAAGTTTCACACTTACCCAACTTAGATTTCTTCCACCAGATATACAGCCAGATATGACATCTAAGACCAATCATACCCAGAAGATTACCTCTATTTTCACACAGCTACTCACCAATGTTCAGCTGCTACTATTTAAAAATGTTGTAGATGGAAAAATACATGCCATGAAAGTGTAGCACAAGCAGGTATCCTTCCTTCTCACACAGATAGCAGCCTCCTTACAGAAGTATTTCAGTATATTCTTTATTTAGAAAAAAAAAAAGAAAAATCTTTTCCAAAACTACAGTTATAGTGCATACTTGATTAGATTTGTCTAAGACTACACTGAGAGTGGGTTATCAATAAGCATGATTTGCAGTTTCTATTGACCTGGTGACAATGCACGAACTCTGTGCCAGAGAAAAGACATCCTACAGTACACATGGATGATTTGGGGCTTGCATATCCTTCTCTATGGATTCCAGAAAGAATTGCAAAATTGTATTAAAGACAAATACCACATTAACAGTCAAAACAATGTTTTAAGTCTTTATCTGTGGGGCTTTCTTTCCTACCACCCTCCTGAAAGAATTAAAAGTCTGACTCTACACACATATATAGACTGAATATTATTCCACATGATTTTCAAGAACAAAGTGAGTGGAACAATACAGATATATTTCTAGAACATACTTGCAGTTACTGAGAGCTATACTTTAGCAAAAATATTAACAACTTACTTGTGGGAAGTCCTCTTCTTCATCATGCTGGCAGACACTCCTGCATGACCTACATACAAAAGATGCTGGAATTACTGAAAAATAATTTTAAAACTTACATAAAAGTCTTTGTTTTGCATGTCAAAATGTAAAGAATACAAACACTTCATGTTATGATTGCTCAGTGACCTACTACCATGGGAGAAAGCTCTGCAGAGACAAACATGGGCAACATGTTCATGAAGCTGTGGTGGGTTGACCCTGGCTGGATGGCAGGTGCCCACCAAAGCTGCACTATCCCTCCTCTCCTGAGCTGGACAGGGGAGAGAAAATACAACTAAAGGTTCCTGCATCCACCTACCTGCTCCAGCATGGGCTCCTCCACGGGCTGCAGGGGCACAGCAGGGGAACCTGAGCTGCCCCACCCTGCTCTGCACCACGGGCTGCAGTGGAACCTCAGCTCTGGCTCCTGGAGCACCTCCTACCCCTCCTTCCGCATTGACCTTGGTGCCTACATTGTTGTTCCCATATTCTCACTCCACTCTTCTCTGGCTGGAATTCTTTCTGTGCCACAATCTTCTGTGTCAAACATGTTATCCCAGAGGTGTTACTGTTGCTCCTGACTGGCTCGGCCTTGGCCAGAGGCAGGAAGTCTGTCCTGGAGCCAGCTGGCGTTGGCTCCGCAGGAAAGGGGAAGCTTCTGGCAGCTTATAAAAGAAGCTACTCCTGTAGCCTCCCACTACCAAAATCCAGCCACAGAAACCCACTACAGCTGCCAATTACTGCAGTAAGGATTCTACTTGCAACTTTTGACTGTTACAAGACCAAATAATTAAACTGCGTGTTGGTAAGACCTTAGTTGGAAAACAAAAAAAGTATCGCAGAAAGTTTGATTAGAAACCCACAAAACTTTTGGACTTTACTACGACCTCTAGAAAAAGCTTTCTCCCTCTTCTGTATATGAGGTGGCTGCGTTCTACTAATACACAATATAATAAAACATGTTTTGATAAAAATATGGTGATGTTTTATTTAAAAAAACTGTTAGAAAAAGAGAACTGTTCTTATGAAACAGAGACACTGCAACACCAGAATGCGAGCACAGGCATGTTATGTTTTACATTACTGGCTAATGAGAGAAAAGTAAGATATTGGCTAAACTAGCTCAAGTAATTAAAAACACCACAAAATAATAGAATGGTTCAGCATAAGAACTTGCTTTCTGTCCTCTGCTCAAGGACTCTTGACACCTGTGCATAAGCAGGGAGGTAAAAAGCATTTCTCTTCCAAAGTGAAGAACAGGAACACTAGACCCACACAGAAAGAAGATTTTACTGCAGCATCTGCAATAAATACACAGTAGAAGCTATGCAGACCCCTGGGAAGGGGAATTTGCCTTGTTTGCTCACTTCTTCCCTTGGGAACCTCATATTTTTGATACGATTCAACTTTTTCATTGATGTAGTGAGCACTAAACCAAAGGCAACAAAGACAACTAAGCACTACTCATCATCTCAAGTCAGGCTACCTTAAGATAGCTTCCAGTTTAATACATGAAGCTGTGGCATTTTGATGTTTAATATAAATATCAAGAGCAAATATTTGAAGATGCAATGTGAAACTCACCCTCGTACCGACCAAATGCCTATTTGCTACAACTCAACCTCCTATTCTGCACTGTCTGAATTCAGCAAAGTCTCGAGGAGATGTGTAAACTCCTTTTAAAGACATCTCAGGTTATACCACTGAATTGCTTGGCTAGAAAGTTGGAAAAATTGGAAGAAGAGCTTCTGTCCTCTACAGCAGCTCCAGATAAGGGGATGGAACAGCACAGAATCCTTATGTTTAGCATATTCTAATAAGAAGACCAAAAGCAGAATTATCTGCCTGCAGAATCTTTCTTGGTCCAGAAGAATTCCTTTAACATTAGTTTTTCTATTATTACTAGAAATCTGCAAAAAATCTATGAGCTACTTGTTGGGCCAAAGTTCAATGACATCCACATTTGGAGCTGTACATAACCTTCGAGAAGGGAGGAGGAAGATGCCTGCATGAACACTGCTAGAACTACACAGGACACTGCATGAAATTTCTTATTTTAGACAGCAATTACAATGGTCTCTACAACGAAATTACCCTGAACATAAAACCACAAACAAATTAATAGTCAAGAAAAACCAAAGTAAATGGATCAGTTTGAGTCTTCTTTGTAGTAAGCAGGGAAGACTCAAACTTTGATGCATCTGACAAAAGATTTATGCTTCAGTCACTTATATGCAGATAACATCAAGCTGAGTGGTGTAGCTGACTCACTTGAAGGACGAGATGCCATCCAGAGGGACCTGGACAACCTTGAGCAGTGGGCCCATGGGAACCTCATGAAGTTCAACAAAGGCAAGTGCAAGGTGCCGTATCTGCATAGGGGTAACCCTGGTATCAATACAGACTGGGGGATAAAGGGATTGAAAGCAGCCCTGCCGAGAAGGACTCGGGGGTGCTGGTGGGTGAGAGGCTGGACATGACCCAGCAATGTGCACTCACAGCCCAGAAAGCCAGTTGTGTCCTGGGCTGCATCCAAAGCAGCATGACCAGTGGGGTGAGGGAGGGGATTCTGCCCCTCTGATTTGCTCTTGTTAGACCCCACCTGGAACACTGCATCCAGCTCTGGGGTGTTCAGAACAGGCACAGACTTGTTGGAGTGAGTCCAGAGGAGGGCCACAAAGACAAATGGAGGGCTGGAGCACATCTCATGAAAGGAGAGGCTGAGAGAGCCAGGATTGTTCAGCCTGAAGAAGAGAAGGTTTTATTAAAGGAAACTCTATTACAGCCTAGAGTACGTGAAGGGGGGCTATAAGAAAAACGGGGATAGACTTTCCAGCAGGACCTGTTGTGACAGTTTTAAACTGCAAAAGGGTCGACTTAGATTAGATACAAGAAAGAAGTTTTTTTACAATGAGTGTGGTAAACCACTGGCACAGGTTACCCAGAGGAGCTGGATGTGTTCAAGTGTTCAAGTCCAGGTCGGATGGGCCTCTGAGTAACCTGATCTGGCTGAAGATGACCCTGCTAACTGCAGGAGAGTTAGGCTAGGTTACCTTCAAAATGTCCATTCAATCTCAAACTATTCTATTATTTTACAATGTAAGAGCAGAGAAACATATTTTTTGTAACAGAAAGTGAATATAAACTCCATTAAGAATTAAGCATTTAATTGTCATGTGGTCTGCGTGGATTTTGAGGCCCAAAACATTTCCCTCTGGGGAATCAACTGCACCTCCCCTGTTGTAATCTGCAAACTTGCTGAGGGTGCATGTGAGGAACCTCGGCTGGACTGAGGGCCTGACATGGAATGAGTACGTGCTTGAGAATGAAGGCATTAACCCTGACAACATATTGATGTACCCTGGAACAACGGAAAAGTACCAGGAGGAAAGTTGCCTTTGAGAAACAAGAACTTGTTGTGGATAAAGGGACTGAGTAAGACATAAACATACAAGATAAAGGAACAGATGTGCTGAGAAAGAGTGGGAAAGTAAGACTGAAAGAGTTACCCTATCAGCTGTAAGATTATGTTGCTGTGTTTGAAATTAACCTATAAGTAGAGAACACATATGCCTAAGAAATGTATAAAAGGAGCTGTAAAAGTGCAAAGTCATTCCTATTTCTATTCCTATTCTCTTCAATAAAATCTTTCCAGTGAACTTTCAGTGTTGTGTCCGTTCCAATAGCGACAGGTGCACTCAATCCCACTGTCTATGTCATTCATGAAGATGCTAAATAGTACTGGGCCCAGGACAGACCCTTGATGGACACTACTCATTACTGGTTTCCAGTTAGATATTGGGCTGTTGACTGTAACTGTTTACATGCAGCCATCCAGTGAATATATCAAATCCCTACCTCTCTAAACACCACATAAAACAATGCTTTGAGGTCAAAAGTACCTTTTAAAGATCACCTCACTCCCCCCCTTCCATGGACAGGGACACTAGACCAGGATGCTCAAAGCCCTATCCAGCCTGACCTTCAACACTTCCAGGGATGGGGCATCCACAACTTCTCTGGACAACTTGTTCCAGTGCCTCATCACCTGTACAGTAAAGAATTTCTTCCCAATACTTAATCTAAACCCATCCTCTTTCAGTTTAAAGCCATTCCCACTTGTCCTGTCACTACGTGCTCTTGTAAATAGTCCCTCTCCAGCTCTCTTTTAGGTCCCCTTCAGGTACTGGAAGGGCACAATTGGGTCAACCCAAAGCCTTCTCTTCTCCAGGCTGAACAACCACAGCTCCTGCAGCCTGCCCTTGTAGGGGGTACCCCAGCCCTGGGATCATCTTTGTGGTCCTCCTTTGGACTTGTTCCAAAGATCCACATCATTCTTACGTTGGGGGCCCGAGAGCTGATGCAGTACTCCATGTGGAGTCTCACTGGAATGGACTGGAGAGGCAATACCACTCCCCTCACCCTGCTGGTCATGCTGTTTTTCATGCATCCCAAAATGTGTTTGGCCTTCTGGGCAGCAAGTGTACATTGCCAGGTCACGTTGAGCTTCTCATTCACCAACACCCTTAAGTGTTCCATTCGCTGTCCAGCCCGTATTTGAGCGCAGGACTGCCCTGACCCAGGTACCTTCCACTTGGCCTTGTTGAACATCACAAGGTTTGCACAGGCCCACTTGTCAAGGCTTTTGTCAAGGTCCCCCTGGATGGCATTCCTTCCTTCCTTCCAGCGTGTCGACTGCACCACACACCTTGGTCTTGTTGTCAAACTTGTTGAGAGTGCACCCCATCCCACTGTCCCTGTCACTAAGATGTTAAACAGCACTGGTCGTAATGGGATCACTGAGGAATGCCACCCATCACTGGTCTCCACCTGGAAACTGAGCCAGCTGACTGCAACTCTGAGTGTGACCATCAATTATTTCAAGGAAATATTTTAATATTTTTACATCAGGCAGAGTTTGCCTTTCATGAAGCTGTGTTGGCTGTCACCAAGCATATCCTTATTTACCACGTGCCTTAGCATAGTTTTCAGGAATATCTAAGTCCACGATCTTGCCAGGCACAGAGGAGAGACTGACTGGCCTGTAATTCCCTGCATCTTCCCTTTTTCCCTTTCTAAAAATGGGGATTATGTTTCCCCTTTTCCCAATCAGCAGGAACCTTACTGGACTGCCATGACTTCTCAAATCTGATGGACAGTGTCACTTTCTCTGCTAATTCCACCGGGTCCCATAGACTTGTGTGCCTTCAGGTTTCTTAGACGGTCTTGAATGTGCTCTTCTCTTACAGTGGGCAGTTCTTCATTCTTCCAGTCCCTGCCTTTGCCTTCCGTGACTTAGAAGATGTGGCTGGAGCACTTGCTGGTAAAGACTTGAGATAAAGTCACTGAATACCTCTATCACAGGCAACCAGGTCTCCTGTTTCCCTCCAGAGAGAGCCCACATTTTCCCTGGTCTCCTTGCTCATCCACGCAGGCCTCCTGGGGTTTTTGCCTGACTTCATCCCTGTCAGGATGCATTGCTCCTGAGCTTGGGAAGAGCTGGTCCCTGAAAATTAACCACCTTTCTTGTGCCCCTCCTCCCTCCAGGGTTTTAGCCCATGATAACTCTACCAAGCAGATTCCTGAAGAGACCCAAGTCTGATATCCTGAACCCAGAGCAGTGAGCTTCCTGTGCACCTTCCTGGCTGAAAGCACCCTTTCACGATCACTGAAGCCCAAGTTGCCCATGAGCCTCACATTCCCCATCAGCTCCTCCTTCTTGGTGAGAACCAGGTCCTGCACAGCACCAGTCCTCACTGGCTCCTTTATCAGTTGGAGGATCAGATGGTCATCAGTGCATTCCAAGAATCTTCTGGACTGCTTATGCCATGCTGTAATGTCCCTCCAACAGACACTGGGGTGACTGAAGTACCCCATGAGGGCCAGGGCTTGTGCACATGAGGCAGCCTCTATCTGTCTGACATTTTCCTGAAAAACCTAATGCCAGTTCTCTGAAGTTGGGCACAGTGCCGCATTAATGCTCAGAAGTCAACAAGACTGAGCTTAAGGACCAGGTCCCAAGCCTGTTCTCCCTTCTGTTCTCTTAGAGATACAACTCTACTCCCACAGGCATTCTGACAGGGTCAAAAGGACTCAGCAGTTGAAGGAATGAAAACTCACAGAAAACAAGTGTCCAAGACTTTGTCTTGGGTCTCTCCTTTGAAGCTACTGTAGTTACCTCTGGAATCAGTAAATGTTTCAAATGAGTGACAGCAAATTGTAAGCCAGTCACAGGTAAAATATAGGTTTGAAAGTTCCCAAAGGGTTAGAGAGAAATCTTCCAGTATCAGTTGCTCCAATTCCCAATGGATGAGTACATGAGAGCACCAGAACAGACTATGGCTTGGGTATTTTAAAAGTTAAATGACCTTTGTCAATTAGATATGGCAGTTGGTTGGTTTCTTGACAATTTTATAAAAGCTTCACTTTACAATGGTTGGTGACAACAAATATGCTGCATCGTGTTTCCCTACAGGGGACTGACATGACCCTACAGGTCACTGATCTGTAGGGTGCATTTTGATGCAACACAAAATGAAGGTCGTGTCTGTACTGCTAAATTAAATTTTTGTATGTCTTTTCAATTTATCAGCTTCTAGAACCAAAGTCATTGTTCTTGAAAAACAAGAATAATAACATCTGCATAAAATCATTAACATATTTTAAAGGTCAGTAAAGTAAGATCACTGTTATCCGTTAAAACCAATAAAAACTACCCAGAAAAAATACCTCACCTGCATCAGCTCTGGACCGCTGACCTGGTGATTTTCCAAATGGGGTCTTCATTCATCTGTGTTTAAGTGAGCAGCAAAGCTGCTGGACTAGGGTGAAAATCCAGTTCTTCCCAACTCCCAGGATATCTTCTCACTCTTAGAATTAGACTACTTATTAATCCACCATTCAATCACGAATTTATACTTCTTCAAATGCAGAAGGATGCACTTTCAATTACAGTACTCTGAAAAACAAAACAGGTGAAGTATTTTAGAAGCTTAATTTGAAAAAAAAATATTCTTTTAACCAAGTCTCACTTTAATGCTTGTTTTAACACTCAACAGGATGTTCCACTGCAATGACTGCTCAAGCCACCAGTTTGTCAAGTAAGTTGATTGTTCATAGATCTGATGAAGTTTTTGGCAACTCTCTACAACCAAACTCATCAAATTTCTGGAGTGTTTATTTAGTCATCACATTCCTCTAGATAAGGGAGGTGAGGACAACTTTTTAAAAGTCCCTTCCAGGATTTATTGCCAGAAATTTGTCAGCACCTGAAAAAAATTTTTTTTCAAATAATTACAGTTTAACTTATTTAAGAGTAACATTTCTGGAAATTTATGCAAAATAATTCACTACTTCAGTGTTGCCCACAACTAAGGCAAGTGAGATCAGATCATTTCCTTAAGAGATATCACTGTTGCAATCATGTTCTCTCTTATCTGTGAATCAGTACAGGTCTTCCATCTTCTATTTCAGTTTTGGAAGCTGTTGTCAATTTTCATACAAGGGTTAAAACCAGAAGAATTCCCCTAACTAGTGATCCAATTGAGGGAAAAAGTGTACCTTAAGCTTGTGCCTTACTGCATAAGGGAACACAGCAGGGACATGCCTTGAGGTATGGTAAAGCTGTTAAGCAGAAAAATGCATTTACATCTAACACCTGACAATTCCTTCAAGAATCGCACCCGTTAACTTCTAGGAACAATAAAGCAACACAGAGAAATACCTCTAGGAAGAAACAGCAATAGGGAGACAAACTCTCAGCAAACTGCAGTTTTTAGAAAGAGCTAACTAAAGATATTCACAGCAGCAATTCATAAGAACCGGTGAAATTAAAAAATTATTTACAGGAACTTGCTACTCTCTCCAGATTTCATCTCTTCCTGAAATCTACCAGTGTGTACACAACGATGCTGAAGGATAGCAGGGCAATAATACCCAACTTCTTAAAAGCACTTGAAGATGTAATAGGAAGCAATTAGCCTGCTTAACTACTTTCCTGGAAACAGCATAGGGATTGGTTTTGCTACTAAACTCAAAAATATTTTCCTATGGATTAAAACATTTCAGTACAGAAACATCACAGGTTATGAAAAGCCAAACCTGAATTCAGAGCACTGCCATGATACACTACCATATTCAGTCTCACAGGTAAACAAACACAAAAGAGATCCACTTTTTTCCTCCAGAAGAACTGGTAGTTGAGAAACAACTGCAATCTTGTATTATATATTGTATTATATATTGTATTATATATTTTGCTCTAAAAACACCCCACAAAACCAAAAAGCACCCCCCCCAAACATAAACCAAATCATCACCATCTCCACAAATACGCAAAACATGAAAATTCTTCAGATTTAGGAAATAACATACCCTTTTACTCTATTATTCAAGGAAGCTGTAAATATTTTTAACACCTGTATTATATAATTCCCCCTCACATTATTTCCAATTCATGGCAAAAATATAAAGTATTTTGACTGCACTGATTAGATAGCTATGTTTAGAAAGATAACTGTAACACCTCAAAGGATAAGGTCTTCTATCAGTTAAGTTGTTTTTTTTAATGGAATGCCCCCAATCATTACTATGCCACAAGTTTGACATCATACCTCTAAACCGGAAAATTTATTCCTAATCCTTTAAAAGTCACAATTCATATGCTAGCACTTAATACTAAGTGCTTCACTTTGCTCTCTGAACCTATGGATGAACATACGGCTACTGAAGTCAAAATGTAATTCGGCCATTCAAGCTGATTTTCTAGAAACTAAGCTACCAACTAATTCAAAACCTTACTGAAGATGAAACTTAAGCTTAACACTAGCATTCTGAATTAAATTTACATTGCAATTGCACATTGACTGTTCTGAAGATATTATTAAGAAGGCATAAAACCTGATTTTCTGAAAACAAAATTTACTTCGTTTAAGGACAGACACCCATTTCCTCAACACCCAACAGCACAGGTCACCATGGGAGCAGCTGCAGCTTTCACTTAAAAGACAAATTGTTTTGACTTGTGAGCTGCTACTCACCAGCCCAGGTGTGTTGCTCGTTTTTTTACAAACTTTTCTACATCACAGCATACTTTAAAAAAAAACCCATTTGGAAATTAGATGACTACTTTGTCTGATAGTGCTCTAATTATTGTGGAGTATTTCAGAGAATATCAAGTGTTAGCCCTGCAAATTGTCAACCATACAAGTTTTAATGAAAATAGTACAATCATACTATCAGACTAGGCAGGAAGACAGGATATTAAGAGAGAAAAAAATGTAGCCACATAAAAAAATATTTTTTGCAGCATAAAGGGAAATGAAGGAAAATCCAACATGCACAGGCTGCAGTTTTCACTGTGAACCTCTACAGACTTAGTTGTTTGGAAACATTAAAATGTTTACGTGAGCTTTTAACTCCATGAAAATAGTGTAACCACCTAAAATAATTCCCTAGCTAAACTTTTAGTTATCATTCATGCCTGTATTTCCACAAGATTGCATGCATTTCACCGCAACACACAGTACGATGCTGTTTACCCCGCTCTCATGAAAGTTTCATGACCGCACTATCCACTGAAGAGGGATGTTAGTAGTACAAAAGCAGTGATAATTAGTGCTACTGACGCCAAACTCACTAATTTAAGTGCCTCACTCCTAACAGTACACCTAAATTCTACCATCCTGAACACAGAGGGAAACAATTTGCTGAGGAAATGCTTTCCAGGTAAAAACCTGGAAGGAGAGGGATGGTAATAGCACCTGTCGCTTGTATTCAGATTATACAGCCTCTGACAAAAGTGGCAGGCTCACATCTTCTCAGGTCTGTTCCTGCTGCCAGAGCAGTGGAAGCTCTCAGCAGGGAGCTGCACACAGGAGGAATGTTTTAGATAGCCAAGTAAAAACGCTGGAGCCCACCAGGTGGTGCCAGAAGGCACCGTAGTACAGTAACAACTATGACAGGAATTATTTTGAAGAATTATCCCAAAGGTTCAGAATTAAGACAGGTAGCTTTACAAAGGACACTACTCTTTTAGAAGTCTTCTGTCTCAGGCAACAGTTTGAGCAAGTTTTACTTAAACTGTATTTTAACATATGTCCTTACCATTGCTCTACTATAGAGTTAGAAACAGTGATCCAGGTGAAAGGTGGATTAATTAATTATTTTTTTAGTTTATCTTCATTAACTTCAAGCATTAGTACAGTTTTACAAGATCACATGTAAGTGGTAACTCACAAATACTGAATTTTAAAGTTCTTACACACACACACGCACACAAAATAAATGGAAAGAACAGCCAGAGAGAAATCCTGAAAGTGTAATTTCCACTGTCTCGTATTCAGGCTTGGTTTTTTCCTTTTGAATTAGCAAATGCAGCTGTTAAGAGACCACACTATAGTTTGTTCTTTACTTCCACTGTGTTTTCCTCATACCATATCATTAAAGCAGCCTGTCTCACTTAATGCAATTTAGCATTTAAGATTTGCAGTGGCTGTAATTTGAAATAAACTCTGACTGTATAATTGAGCCACTTTGTAAAGGCAGCAGTAAAAACTTCATTAGAGTCAGTATTATGAAACAATATTTTAAACAAACTTGCTTATCTTCTTTAATTTCAGGGACTTAATTAACACATTCCCAGGATCAGAGTATTACCTTGCGAGATTAACTTTCAGAACTCCCTCACTACACTTTTAAATTGCAATAAAAACACCAGCAAAGAGATCAGGAGAGCACAGGACTCTCAGCACCCACGTTAGAATGCAGCCATTTCTGATTTAAAAAAAAATAAAATTGTTACAGTACAAATGTTAAAAAGATGTTACTTCTTCCAAGCGTGTAAATATTTTTCAGCCTCGCCGACATTACCCTTATGGTTACATAAATACATATGCATTGTTTAATATCCCCCATTATTGTGGGAGATTCAAAGCACAGAAATTAAGTGTCCTCTTGTCTGCATTAGAGCACTCATCCATCAGTAGCACGAAAAACAAAAAAACTAAGGAAATAGGACCATTCACTTTCTACAGAGAAACACCAAACAAAACCCCCAAAACACAGAGTAATTACATTCAACATTACCACGCAGGACAACTGCTCTACATTACAGGAAGAACACGCTGTATCACACTGGGACATAATTTGATGGCAGGAGCAGATGCTCTTTGAAAAGCCCTGGATGACTGGGAGAGAGATCAATTTCAAAATTCTAAGCACTATGCAAAGAAGTATATAGGGCATTTGTCTTATTCACATATATGTGCGCTACATACTTAAAATTAATAAAATTCATAGGTGAAAAAGTAACTGTAAAACGTGAGACTTCCCAAATGTATTCCAGCCCAAGATAAGAGTCCATAGATCTAACTCGTGCCACATCACCAAAACTGATTATGGAAGCTCAGCTTTAGGAGGCAAAGGCTCTCCAAAGTGCATTCTTGGAATGTTTAGGCATCTAGAATCCAATGCCTACTCTTTCGAAATACAGCAAGTTGTCACTTTCTAAAGTGCATCTAAATCCTACTGCAATCAAAGGATTATTTCAGACTTTCTGGGCAACTACAAATTCAGGTCACATGATTCTCATCTGACTGGCTTGATATTCTATGCTAGCCTTCAGGATACGGTATGAATTCCACATCCAACACAAATGTGGAATTCTGGCCTCAAGAAGTGACAGTCTTCACAAGTGGCTTACCATAAACACAGTTCCACAGGATACCCCATGACATGCACTGCACTTACACGGACCAAAGACTTTACTCAGCAGGCCACAAGTGCAAGCAGAGCGAACAGTAAACTGCCCCAGACAAAAACTGCCCGGAGATGATTCAAACAGCAGGTCAGCTGCTAGCCTGGCAGAGTCTAATGGCAATCTGAGAAACAGCTCCCTGGACGTCTGTACTGTGAAAGCACAGAAAGGTCTCATGTATAATTCAGCTTATTTTTTTTCCC